CAGGAACGGGTGGTCTAACCATACCATACATGTCGTTGGGTCGACCCCTAAACATTGTTAACCTATTTGTAAGCACCCACATTCACCAACTATTATAAAAAAATAAAATATTACAAAAATTAATTTGATATTAAATATCATAGATAGTCTATTACCATATGAATTACGAAAACAATCGGGGAGTTTGGGCAGATACTAATAGCATACTAGCTTATAAGCTATATGAAAATCAAACACTGTACACTGTAGTACTTTTGGTTCAAATCTAATTCATGTATTGGTACTTAAAGTTTACTTAATCAAGGACGTTTATTACAACAAGATTTAGGTTTATTACTCAATTTTACCTTTCGTAAAATACAAATAACATGTGCAACAAATACTAGAAAATTAATCTATATGATTTCAATAATTAAGTGAGATCCTAAAGTACTGTATATCTTGATAACAATTATGATTATATTGTAAGGACTATATAAAGAGCATTTAAAAAATAAAGACAAAGAAATTAATTTTATAAATTTTGTACAATTTGTAAAATTAAATATCATTTAAAATATGAATTTTTATATTATATTTATTGTAACTTTTCTACATTGCTACGTGAATGGGGTGCTTACAAATAGGTTAACAATGTTTAGGGGTCGACCCAACGACATGTATGGTATGGTTAGACCACCCGTTCCTGATCCGGATGAAGTAATTAAGGAAATTAAACCGCAATACTATGATCAGAGACTCAACCATTTTGACGATAAAGATAACCGCACTTTCAAACAGGTTTCAAATCATTATTTATATATTAATTTACTAATAATTATATAAGAATTTGTATAAGTTATTTTCATATTATTCTAATAAATATTAAAACAATTAAGGTAAGAAACTAATATTTTTATGATACTACTTAATAGCTGTATTACACCGACGATTCCCACTACAAAACTGGTGGACCGGTATTTGTGATGATACAGGGGGAGGGGGACGCCAGTCCTGAATGGGTCACTAATAGCGCCATTTTTATGGTCAAAAGTGGCAAACAATTCAACGCATTTATGGCAACATTAGAGCATCGGTACTACGGGGAGTCCCAACCGTTCAATGATACATCCGTTGAACACCTGAAATACCTGTCCAGTGAACAGGCGTTGGCCGACACGGCTGAGTTCATACAGTATTTGACCAAAAAGTTGTCACTTTCAGGCAAAGTGGTTGTGTTTGGGGGCTCTTATGCCGGATCATTGGCCGCCTGGTTCAGGGAGAAGTACCCCAACATAGCTGTCGGCGCCATAGCGTCCAGCGCTCCCGTGTTGGCTGAAGTGGACTTCAAAGAGTATTTCGGTGTCGTTAGCGACTCATTGGGAACGGAGTGCTCACAGAATATTAGGTATGGGTCACTGGGGAAAGGGATGCAAATTAGCCATTGAAATGTTGCATTGGCTTCACTCCCACAGAAAATCCTTTGTGGGAATCCCACTCCCCAACATAAGGTTTGACTGGACTCCCGCATCACTCCCGCGGGACCCTCATTACTCCGTCCACTCCCGCACATACCTCGTACAAGCCCTGTACTTCAAGCTATAACACATACATACAGCGCTTTGCTATGTTAGCGACAGACTATGACTATATGTGGTGTTAGAACTCATTTGGAGGACTTTTGAATAGCATAGAAAATACAGTCATGTAGTGAAAAGCTTTAAATTAACAGCTTACAATTACACATTGAACATGAATTAATGTATTCGTATGAATGAGTAAGGTGAGTTTTTAAAATGTGTAATCGTAAGCT